CTGAGGATACCCTAAGGCTTTTGCTTTGGATTTTGGGGGGGCACTGGTCCAGTAACCCAGTTGATGATATTCAGATGTTTTTAGGTCCCTTTAAACTTATAATGTCCAAATTGGATTTATCTTTCCTCAGAGTTGTTGTTTCTCATGAGTTTTCCAGTCTTGAACTGGCTCCAAGGTCCATTTGGCTAATAGGGGGTCTAGCTCACCTCCTCCTCCTCCTTCTCCTCCTCCTCCTCCTCCTCTCCCCCTCTTCCTCCTCCTCCCTCTCCCCCTCCTCCTCAACAAATGCTGTTAATTACATTTCTTCATTGGTCACCATGTCTCTCTCTCTCTCATTTCCTGTGCTGTCCCTTTGTACATTTATTTTATGTCTTTTTTAGCTCAAACTTATTATTTTAGACAGCATCTCACAATGTAGCACAGGCTGGACTCAAACTCACAACCTTTCTGCCTCAGCCTCCTGTGCTTCACCATACCTGGGGAACTTGAATTATTAAGACAAATTGAAGTATAATTCTAATTAATCTTACTAATTAAAACCGGGAGCCAGATATCGGGGTAATAACCTGAAAGACCACAGAAACAGAAGCAGCCACTAGTGAGTTCCTACTTCTCTGGATCCTCTGACCAAAAGGTCCCAGATCCTGTCTCTACCTCCCAATTGCTGGGATTAAAGTTGTGAGCCACCACCTCAGGGCTCTATGGTTAACTAGTGGCTAGCTCCACCCTCTGATCTCCCGCTGTGGGATGGTCTGTATGTCAAATTGCTCTGATTGGTCAATAAATAAAACACTGATTGGCTAGTAGCCAGGCAGGAAGTATAGGCGGGATTCATAGAGAGGAGAACAGAGAAAACAGGAAGGTGGAGGGAGACACTGCCAGCCGCTGCCATGACAAGAAACATGTGAAGATGCCGGAAAGCCACGAGCCACGTGGCAAGGTATAGATTTATGGAAATGGATTAATTTAAGATATAAGAACAGTTAGCAAGAAGCCTGCCATGGCCGTACAGTTTGTAAGCAATATAAGTCTCTGTTTACTTGGTCAGGTCTGAGCGGCTGTGGGATTGGCGGGTGATAGAGATTTGTCCTGACTGTGGTGGGCAAGGCAGGAAAACTCTAGCTACAATCTCCAGGCCAGCTTTATTTGTCAGAACACAAACAAAATATCACACAACAACTAGTAATGATAATAATAGCAAGCCTTTATTGGGAACTTTGTGAGGCTCTGTCCTTGCATGAGATTCTTTTCACTTTTGCCCTCTTTAATACATCTTGCTGGTATGAATGTGTAGGACTCTTGTCCTACTTTTGACTGTGGTAGAACACTGACCAAAACTAACTTGGAGAGGAAAGGGTTCATTTGGCTTACAGGTTACAGTCCATCACGGAGGGAAGCCAAGAGCTCAAGGCAGTAACTGAAGCAGAGGCCATGGAGGAACATCGCTTACTGGCTTGGGTTACCTGCCTGTGTCCAGCCAGCTTTCTTACACTACCCAGGACCACCTGCTTGGGGTGGGCCGGCCCATAGTCATCTGTCCATTTAATATGAATATCTTTTCATTCAGATACATACACACTACTTTCAAGAATTTGGTTTCTAGTTACAAATTGAGCCAGAATCATTTGGGTGGGGACGTGGAGTGGAATTAAGAGTAAGATGTTTATTACTAAGAAATCATAGGTGATTTTTAACTTAGAATTACTGTCTAACAAGACAAGAGCCTAAGATAGTGCTACCATAAAAATATGAGAATTTCAAATGCAACTCAATTGCATATTTTAAATAAAATATTTGTAAAATAATATTATTTCATTATGTAACCAGCATAAAATGTTAATGAGACCTCTTTTTCTTTCTACTTTTTTGTATGTTTGTGTGTGTGGTATATGTGTGTCTTAGTTAAGGTTTCTACTGCTGTGACGAGACACCATGACCATGGTGTCTGTGTACACCCATGTGAGAGTATGCTGAGGCCAGAGAAAGATGTTGGATGCCTTCCTCTATCAGTCTTCACCTTGCTGCTGTTATCAAAGTTTCTTGCTAAATCAGTTTAGAGTTTCCGATTTGTCCTGGATGGCCAGTGAGGCCCTGGGACCTGTCTATCTTGGTCCTCCGGTGCTGGTCTTATAGGCACACCTGTAGCCACAGCCCTCCCATGCTTTTTATGTGAGTACTGAGGATTCAAACTCTGGTCCTTTCACTTTTACAGTGAGAGTTTTTACCCACTGAGATCTCTCCAGCTCCTCCCTTTCTTCTCACCCACATCGCCTCTTAAGACCATTTTGAGACAGTGTCTGTGTTCTCTTCTAACTTGGATGACTTTGAACTTTCGATTCTCCTGAGTGCATGCCACCATGCTCACTTGTATGCTATACTGAAGATCAAACCCAGGGCTTCCTGCATCCTAGACAAGCGCTCTACCAACTGAACTGTAACCCCAGCCATTATTTCTTTTCTTCTAGGTCTTCTCGATCCAGTAAGCATTTCACACATCTCAAGTGTTCAGCAGCCACATGTGGCAAATGATAAGAAGCGGTAAAGACACTTGCCGTTGTTAAAACCAGGATAGATTAGCCTGGTGCATAACCAATTGCCCAATTTTTTGAGGTTAAGTTCAGTACCTTTTAGAGAGGAGGTACTTAACCAAGGTTTCTTTTTCTTTTTCTTTCTTTCTTTTTTTTTTTTCATGACGGGATTTCTCTGTGTAGCTTTGGATCCTGTCCTAGAACTCGCTCTGTAGACCAGGCTGGTCTTGAACTCTCAGAGATGGCCTTTAATCCCAGCATGCAGGAAGCAGAGGCAGGCGTCCACCACCGCCCAGCTCAAGGTTTGTTTTTCTAATGGAATTATTTTCATTTTTTTCAGTTGAGTGTTTCAGTACTTGTTTTATGTAGATATGTCCAAAATGCCTCTCTGTAGCCATGAAACATTATGTTAGTCATGAAACAGAAAACAATTCATACATTTTACTTTGTTTCTCCAAAATGAGAGATGTTTTAAGAATGTGTTTTCATTAGTTTTGCCAAAATTTTGACATTACACAATAGCTTTTCCCCCCTCTTCCTTTTGGAGAATTGATGGGTGGATGAAGCTTGGAACAAAACATTGACAGTGGTTAAGAGAGCAAAACAATGGGACTCAAAGAAAAGGTTTCTGGGAAGTGACACTCTCCAGGACGCTTGAACTCTAGTTGTAGGAAGTGTCTCATCTTCAGAGGATGTTGTGATTTATGGTGAGTGGGCAGAGTCTAGGGAGACTGACAGTCCTGCAGATGGTCAGAGGCCATATTAGAACTAGACTCCTCAAGGTAATATTTCTAGGATCTGCTGCTCAAAGTTTGCCCCCACAAATCATCTCTTAGGCAAATGTTAATCCTACTTACCCCCCCCCCTCTGTTTCTCCAACGCAAAGTTATCTGTGTTGCCCTGTCTTGTCTTGGAACTCACTCTGCAAACCAAGCTTGCCTTGAACTCACAGAGCTCCTCCTTCCCCAGCTTCCCAAGTGCTGATTTTAATGCTCCCAAACTCATTAATTTAGGAAAGGAAAAGGAAGTTCTCTGTAAAGTATGCCACTTATTTATTTATTCAGACTTTTTTTTTTTTTTAACAGAGTCTCACTATGTAGCCCTGGCTGTCCTGGAACTCACAATGGTCCTGGATCTCACTATGTAGACCAGGCTGGACTGGAACTCACAGAGACCTGCCTGCCTGCACCTCCTGAGTGCTGGGATTTAAGGTGTGTGTCACTGTGCCTGACTTCATCCAGGCTGTTTGAGGCAGTCTTGTTATATAGCTGAGGCTGGCCTTAAACTTGTGCTTAGCCTCCCAAGGATGAACCCCACACCCAGTCTATAAGGGATTCATAACAAGATGTGTGTAGTCAGACTCCCCCCCTCCCCATCCACCAACCAGTTCCTAAATAACTCACAGGGAGACTTAATATTAATTACAAATGCTTGGTTGATAGCTCTGGCTTGTTACTTACTAACTCTTACATTTTCAGTTAACCTATATTTTTATCTATGCTTTGCTACATGATTGGGTACTTTTTCTCAATACAGCACATCCATCTTGCTTCTCTCTACATCTGCTCACTACTCCTCTGACTCTGCCCTTCTTCTTCCCAGCATTCTGTTTGGCTCTCCCCTTACCCTTATCCTGTCCAGCTATTGGCCAGTCAACTTTTTTATTAAACCAATCCCAGTGACATATATTCACACAGTGTAAAGGGATATTCCACAGATGTGAAAAGCTCTTTCCATAAAAATAATTCAGTTTGAACATGGAGGCACTAACAAATTAGAAGCATTTGCAGAATACCAACTGAGAAGGCCCTTTAGGCCATCTAGTTCTGTTGAGTTTGCTTATAAGAGTAGGCAGATGCAAGGCAGTGGTGGTGCACACCTCTAATCCCAGAATTTGGGAGGCAGAGGCAGGTGGATCTCTGTGAGTTCGAGGCCAGCCTGGTCTACAGAGTGAGAGATCCAGGACAGACTCCAAAACTACACAGGGAAAGCCTGTCTCGAAAAACCAAAGAGAGAGAGAGAGAGAGAGAGAGAGAGAGAGAGAGAGAGAGAGA